AAAAAAAAAATATAGTGCAACTGAAATTATATTAGAACTACATTATACTAACTATTGGATGTGGGTGAACTTATTGATATTAAAACTCTACTTGCATGTAATAAATGTTATTTTACAATTCAATACAATAAACTATAAAACAAGATTCTCTAAAAATGAATGTTACTTAGAATCAATATGAATTCAGGCTAAACCTCTATTTTGCCCTCAAAACTTTATTTTCACATAGATTCTACCCCTCATGAATTTTAAACAAATTGTTACTTTTTTATTTTTAATTTTAGTTTTTAATAGATACAAAATTTAGTAAAACTAGAAAAAAAAATCAAAAAGCACAACCAAATAGAAACTAAGGATTCGTATATTATAAATTTGGTTTTGGGCTTTCAATTTTCAACTTTTATATATTTAATAACTAGTACTATATTAAAATTAAATTTAATAAATTTAAATTTTTAAAATATATTTTGATTGTTAAATATAATAATAATTATTAAATATATAAAAAATAAAAACTCAAAACTTAAAACAAAAACCATATTAAGTGAAGTCTAAATTGTTGTTAATCCCCATTGATTTTAAGCTTTTTATTCCTAAACTTTACAATTTGAGCCAGTTTGCATCCTTCAACTCAATTTAATTGTTTTTGGTCGCTAAACTTGTCTATTCAACTAACAAAAACTTAACTAAATTAGTATCTACTAACATTAAAATCTTGAGTTGAAGTACCCTACAATACAACTTCAACTGTAAAATGAAAAACGTATTTGTTGGGACTTTTGGTGCTTATTCTGGGATGTAAAAGAACCAGAAGGGAAGATGTGAACCATTATTGGTGAAATTGAGTAAAAGCAAATATGTCAGAAGTGGGATTTGAACCCACGCCCTCTCTCGAGGACCAGAACTTGAGTCTGGCGCCTTAGACCACTCGGCCATCCTGACCGTTTATTAGAAAATGCTGCTTGCTTTAATATAGTTCCAAATAATAACCAGAACTTAATCGATGTGCTCTTCATTCCTCCTCATATTGTGGTTCGAAGCAGGATGTGCCTTTTTTAATTTTTGTTTCTCACTGCAGCCTAATACAGTAGTGTCATTTTCTATCTAACCCACAGTAGTAGTACTTAAATTTGAATGAAACCCACATCCTTCTCTATTTTAATCACCCTTTTTTATCTCCTCCTTACTCAGTATCAGCCTCACGACAGAATGACAATTACTTAACATCTTGATGGTGCAGTATACATAGTGCATGTAAGAGCCATTTGTGGACAACACAAATTAATATGATAGCTTTTGCAGCCCTTTTTTGTGGGAGGACTAAAAACTTGAGCTTTTGATTTCATATCTTCTGTATCTTATGGATTGCAGACTATAGCCTTCTCGTGCGGACCAAATCAAATTGGTGCACTGTGCTGAGGTGGGGTAAACTTCCAATGTCCTTTTCTTGACTACAATATCTTGGTGGATCGTTGGTACGTAGAAAAAACCTTTTTGATCTATGATATTGAATTGGTTAGGAAACATACAAAGTAGAAAGCATCTTTGTCATTTGTCTGCCAATTTTTGTGTAATTAATGAAGAAGTGTATGGTATCATAGAAGACTTCAAGTATTTTAGTATGTAGTCTTCACAATTTGTATTAGTAACTTTAACACGGTTATTATTTAACGAATAGTTTACTTGTTTACTAGATCCTGGAAGAAGAGGTTTTGTTAAATTGTTTCCAACTCGGGCGAAGTCCTACCTCTCCAAGTTGTATTCTTCTTGCAAAAGCTGACCTGAATACCTTAATCATAAATATATAAACAAATAAAAAACCTTGGAAAACAGAGCACTCTATTTTTACCCTGAACAATGTTGATTTCTGGAATTCAATGCTCATACGATTTTGTAGGTACAAATTTTATATAGCTGCTTCATTCAAAGGCGTCACTCGTAGATGGACTGTAAAACATCCCTTCTTCCCCATGAGCAAAGAAAAGGATAAAAATGCTTTTGCAACTTGTAGTTTAATTGGTAAAGTACTTCTTTTGTTCTTCTTAGAAAGGTTAAACCTTTAATTTGGTTACTCAACTATTATATGAACTTTTGGTTTGATTTTTAAACTAAAAAAAATCTCTAATTTAATCCTTATTGTTTATTAATTTGATCTCAAGTTAGTCCCTTCATATAAAAACACATGACGTGTTTTATTATTAATATGATACGTGACTATTAAATAATGGTTTTTTATCGTTAAATAACAAACACATCAACTTTTTTTAACTAAATGATTAACTTGAGGGTAAATTAACAAACAATAGAGAGCGAATTAAAATTTTTTTTTATATTAGGAACTAAACTAGAGATCCATACAACAATTGAGGGGGCAAATTGGGGGTTTAACCTTTTAGAAATGGTGAAATGATTCTCTTTACTTGAGCCCTTGTATTCAATTGAACCTTAGCCCTCTTGAAGTCAAGGAATGGGCCAGATATGAAAGCTAAGCCGTTTGGGCTTCTGGGTCCCTAAGTTCTATATTATTATTAAGTACCATCAAATATTTATTTTTGGGCTGATTGTACCATCGACTATTAGTCCTTGAGCATTTTGGAAATGTTTAAGTAGGTGCTTTAGTTATATTTGCTTTAATTTTGTTTTGTAAATTAAGTTGTGGTAATTTCCTTGATGGAATTATCAGAATTTTCTAATGAAGACTTTACATTTTTGGGGAAGAACTACGATATACAAATTCAAATGCAATGAAGATATTAAACCAAAATTCACCAAAAATACCCATGAGCTAACTATTCATATTATGGCTAATGACGTAAGGAAGAGACACACTCTTGAAGCTTCAGTTTGTCTACTCCATAGTTTTGTTTAATTTGTAATTTAGTTCAGTAATAAATTTGTGTTATGATTGGTTGGCATGCATTAGATGTAATATTAATTGTAATTGTCTCCTCAAGTGGTAAAACCTGCATGGTTCCTTGTAATTGTAATTCCCTTTTCCCAAAATTGGCCTTGTTTAAAAGAAAAGAAGAAGAAGAAGAAGAAGAAGACAAAGGGTGTGTTTTTCTTGCACTTTTATGCACAACCATGCATTATTAAAAATGTTAATTGGCTATAATTAAATGAATTTTTTTAGTTTGTACCCTTGATATACAAATTAAAGATATAATTAATATATTTTTTATAATTAATTTTTATTAAAAGGGTAAATGTTAATTTTGGTTTAATCAATTAATTAATTAAAATTATTTATATGTTAATAATATTAAAATAAATATCAATTTTTATATTTTTTATATGAATTAATTAAAAATATATTTATTACGATTTTTAAATTACAAGTTGGGATCTTAACTAAATTTCATTAATATATTTTTATATTCTAAGGCCATTAATCGAGGCAGACTACCTTAAATTCATGGCCCACCGCTTAGCAATGGTATTTTTACTTGCACTCACTTACTTTGATGAGTTAGCACCTAATGAGGGGCACTTTTAGGTAATTAAAAAAATTCACGTTAACATTTTATCAAATAAAGTCTTAAATGGTAAAATTAGTAAATTTAAGTCCTTAAATAGGAAAATTGAAAAATTAAGATTTTCAACTAATTAAAAATAAAAAAAGTTCATATCCTTAGGTAGTAAACTTTCAAAAGTTGGAATTCTTGTTGGTGTGCTGTTTCTCTTATCTTGAACGTACTAGCTAATTGGAATTGTTGTTGGTTTTAAGGGCGACTCAACTAACAGTTTAAGACTTTTAGCATCTATTTGATATTATAGTTAAAATATAATGGATAGCGGGTAACGGATGCTACAATGGAAATAACAGATGATGAATAGTAAGTATTGATTGATTTAATTGTTTAATTCTATAATAATTAGTAATTATTGTTTAATATTAAATTACTATTGACATATTTAAAAGTAATTAAGTATGTATTTTTATATTTTTTATTATTAAAATAATTAATTTTATAACAATAATAGTATGAAAATAAATAAATAAAATATAAAAGTGCACATGTGATTTCTATTTTTAATAATAATAATTTTTAAATAAAGATAAAATAAAATTCTAATTTATTAGAGAGAAAAAAAATAAAGTTGAAATCAATTGGAGAATTAGATATAACCGTAGGTGACAAAAAAATCGAATATTATATCATTTTTAGTAATAAAAATTATATAATTTTTAAAGAAACGTAAAATAATTAATAACAGAAAGTTGTTTCCAACCCACAAAAATCAGACCTCCCTAAAAATTATAAAATCGAATATTATATCATTTTTAGTAATAAAAATTATATAATTTTTAAAGAAAGGTGAAATAATTAATAACAGAAAGTTGTTTCCAACTCACAAAAATCAGACCTCCCTAAAAATTATATTATATTATATTATATTATACTTTTAAAAATTATTAAAATCTTTAATAAATTTTAATTAAATACTCAATATCTTGTTAAAATCCTTTTAAAATATCAAATAAATACT